TAGTAGTAGTAGTAGTGGTGCAAATATTTTTAATACTGGGTCATCGTAGCAGTGGCAGTAGCAGTGGCATTGGTAGCGGCTGCTAGTGGCAGAAGCAGAAGCAGTGGGGTTTGGGGCGTGGATCTGAGGCAAGGTGTAGCACATCGGCTTTAGCGGATGACCGGCCTCTGCGAGCTTCGTACTCCTACATATTCCTGTCAACGTCTAAACCCTAAACTTAATCCCTAAACCCTAAACCTTCGACCCCAGACCCCTCAACCCTTGGACATTGGAGGCTTGGGGCTCAAGGACCCTTGATGTAGCGGCCTTGATAGTTAGAATGTGGTCTTGGGGCCTGATGTAGTATAACTATATCGGGAATATAAGGTTATATTGTTTTTAGTCACTGAGGCTTCTACATCATTACCGTCTTGAAAGGTTCCTCTCCCATCTGCCTACGCATGACGGCTAGGCCCCGTTCTTCAAGATACGAACCTTTGCAACACTGCTCCTTGAGCCCTGAACCATACTACGACTGAGGCCCCTCAACCTGAACCCGAAATCTTATAAGTGATCCCAAAATCTTACTGATGCACCCCCTAAATTAACCTGAAAACAAATATACATATATAAAACAAATATGCATATATACATGCACACACATACATATGTACATCTGGATGTATGCATATAATATATATAATAATATATATATATATATATAATATACACATATGTATATGCAAACATAAATTTCTACGAGGGAGGAGAACAGCGATAACATATTATTTTCAATGAGGTCGCGGACCTGGTGGCTCCAGACGAAGCCGTCGCACGTCGGCCACACAGCCTCAGCGATTAACAGGCTAATGGGCTAGAGGTGTTACAAGTAGACGGTGTTACGAATTAGGTTCTTCGGATTGAGAAGTTTAGGATTTAAGCGTAGACTTGAGCGTAAGCGTTTACGGTAGTTTACGGTTTGGGGTAGGATCCAGGGCTTAGGGCTTAAGGGGTTCTGGTTCAGGGGTTGGGTTTAGTCTTGCGTCAAGGTGTTTAGGAGATAGACTTAAGGTGTCGGGGTGTCCTCGATCTTTGGGAAAGACTTCCCCACACTAAACCAGAAACAAGCTCTGTGGGGAACTTAGTTCAGGGATGTAGGCTGAGAGTGCAATGAAACTGCAGCTACTGCGAAGGGGCTTGTGATCTCCCCCCGTGTCCAGAACTCTGGCCAGCACAGATCATCTTATGGTTTAGGGTTTTAGGTTTAAGAGCCCATATGATGACGATCCTACAGATTAGGTCTATTTTGCCAGTCTCCTGGTTGTGGAACGTGTATGTTTTTTTCAGTCTGCAGAACTAAAGACGTATGCTGAAGGTTGCAGAAGATAAATTGCGGAATTCAAAGACCCAAGCCCTCAACCCTGCCAAAGCACACAGTCCCGAATCCTCAACCTAAACACCACAATAGTATTTCCCCCCAATTCCAAACCCCGAACCCCCTCAGCACAACCTCAGCACTCTTTGCAGTGGTAGCAGCCCTAAACCCTAGACCCCAGAACGCAGGCTCTAGGCTAGGGCGGCTAGGCGTCAAATCCAACCTGCCCCGATCCAAGCTGCGAGAGAGCACAACGGCGATCTCCTCTTCAGCCTGGCAGGCATATGAAGGAAAAACTCAGATACGATTGAAAGCCCGAGCTGACAGTGGGTGGGGTTTAGACCTTCGGGTGCAGGGTATGACCACTCTCGCCACTGCCGCTGCAGTCGTGAACAGGAACGGTCTTCAGATTTGCATTATCAGACTTAACCCACTCTCTGCGTGGTAGTGCTATTACGGCTTCGAATCTCACCGCACCATCATCGTTCCCAATTGTTTCAGCCCATCTGTTCTAGCATCAACGAAGCTGAATGGGTCTCATCCGTTGTGTGGGGCATCACGAAACGCAAGGAATAGAAGATTGCGGCGACACTCACAAAACCCGAATTCAGAACAGCTTCTGCGTTGTAGCAATCAAACGAAACACATTAAACAGACGTTGCGACAACAGTAAGTTTGATACTAAGAATCCCAATCCTGAGAATATGATGGCATTATCATCACTTGAGTTTCCAATCATCAGATGCATACGAACCACAGCGATGGTAGCAAATGACGAAATGAAAACCTTGCTACTCCAAAACAAAAGCCCGAAACCCAACACTCCCTTCACCGCTCTGTTATTGCTAAACCCTAAACCCTAAACGCTTTAAAGAAAGGCACTAAACCATCATCGTCAGGGGGCCTGCTCGGTGACCCCCGGCCCGGCGAGCTCTTGCAGCAACGACGCCGCAGCCTTCTGGGACGGGTTTTACGGCAAAATTTAATTCAGGGGTGAGGGCTTATGATTCTAGAGTTTTAGAACTGTCGGCGTAGCGTTTTTTGTGTTCTATCTAGGGAGGGTTGGTGGAAACTTACCGATCACGACCCAATTACGCTTCATGCCTCGCCAGAAAACGCACACTTTCCTCCTCTTCCTGCGCAGAATGGGTGTGTGTGTGTGAAGAATATTCATTCAGAATCCGAGCGGGAGTCAAGGCTGTTCCAGCACCACTCGGGTCATATTGACCATACGACGCAAAAGCCTCGGGAAAATCAGCGACTTGGTCGCTGACCAAGGATGCTTCGCTCTGCTGTTGGGCGAGTCGGGTACTCACGTGTCCCAGGAGCCCGAGTAGAAGCCAAGAAGTTGGAACATGACAATGAGGCGATTGATGCTGGCTGTCCGCATCTTCCAATTTTGGTGTTTGGGGGGGGCGGCCGTGAATTCCAACCTTTTGGATTCTACTTTAACTTGCGGTCCTGCCGCTCGACCAGGCGACCGGGAACTCCGCCAAATGGCAGAAACGTGACCCTGGAAAGTAATGAAAAGAATCACACGGGTGCGAACGACCTCGAACGACACACTTGAAAGAGCCCGTCTCACGGCACGGACTCGACCTTGCTTCCCTTCTTTCCACGCAGCCTCGATGCAGCCCAAGCCTGCATCCCACGCACCTGCAGACATGTTAGGGCGGCTCCACAAGGCACATTCAAGACGGTATGCTGTCTCATCCCTAAATACAAGACAGAGACCTGAACTCAAGCACCAAGAAAACGCAAGCCAGGCCTTCTCCCACATACCGCTTTTGCTTCGTGGCTGCAGGTCGCCCTTGTCGGGCTGGGGGAGAAGCAATCCTGGGTGGCGGAACCCACCCTACACCCCAGACCCTTCACAGAACGGACCCCACCAAGTCGTGCAGGATCCAGCTCTGCCGAGGAGCCACGAAGCAGTGTCTGCTTGGGTGGCCGCGCCTGCTTCGGTGGATCCTCTGGCACCATTCCCCAGACGTGGTCCACGGGCAGGCCACTGCTCTCCTCACTTGGCTCACGGCGGAAGCGCAGGAGCTTTCGAAACTCATGCTCGTCCAGACATTTCACCCGCTTGATGCTGGCAGTGGGTATCGTCGGCAAAGCGGATGCCTCTGCGCCACCTACACAATCATCTCGCCCGGATTTCTGCACGCTGAAGGCTCGGCAGGCCAAGTTTGTGGCCTCGCGCGCTGCCATGGCCAAGTCTGTTAAAGGGCACTGATGGCCCTAGCCCCAGTGTCACTATGCTTGAGCAGAGAACACCACAGGGAAGGACGGGCGGACTGACTTGTCGGCGTGCTTCGGCTGCAGTGCACCTAACCGCTAAACAGAAACAAACATAACCTGAAGCCTCGAGCCATGAATTCCCAAAGCCCTCAACCCGAAACCCTAGACTCTTAATTCCCCTGTTTTCCCGAAGCCTAAAACCCCTGAATTACCTAAAGCCTAAATTCCCTAAATTACCTCAATTTCCAGATCCCATACATTCCCTAAGGCGGCACCTCGCCCAACTTCGGCCGGCGGAGGCTCAGAAGCCTCAGCAATTCGGAGCGAACTAAACAACAAACCCTTCTTGTGGACTTAGCTTTGGCATTTAAGGCTTATAAGGGCCTAAGGTTTGGGGATGTGGATTGGGGGCTTCAGGCTTTGGGTTCAGGGCTCTGGTCTTTGAGTCGCTTATGGGGTTTAGGCTTCGGGGTTTCCGGCACTGGGGCTTTAGGGTTTCGGGCGTTCAAGTGAGAGTCATGAGGCCATGAAAGAGTTTTAGCTGTTTTGTGGAAAGAGCTCAAACCCTAAACCCCAAACCCCTAAAACCCGTAGACCCCAAACCCCTAAAACCCCTAAACCCTAAACCCTATAAACCCCTAAAACCCCTAAACCC